CCCCTCCAGACATCAGAGATAAATTAATCCCTTCTAACTTTGCCATCATGCACGATGGTGACTACGCCCCTCTATGCGTTGAATAAACTACTCAAAATCGGACTCTACGAACAAAAACGAGATGAATTCATAAAAACAATGAGATTCTGCACTACTTACAAATGAATCATACGAGCTCCACGCTGATCGAAATTCTGAATATACCAACGTGGTGACATGTGCTGTTCAAATGAGCAGAATGAAATTATGTAAGTCGGAGCAATTAGATGAGGTTCTCATGCATAAACTCACTGGTGGACGTGCATGATACATCATCTTCAAACTAACACATCCTACCGGTAAAGGAGTTATATCGTTGCTATCAGAAACATGTTCTTGTTTAAGTATGTTGTTATTCCGATTTTGGAATCCCATTTGATTAAGGTAGGTGTCTTAAAGGGTCCTCATTTCCCCCAAGAGAACGAAACATGATTTTGAATTTTGTATTTCCAACAAAGACTATTTGTCACGCATTTTGTGCAATGCTGATCTTACAGCACACTGCAGACTACATGTAACTACCTGGAATGCTACCTGATAAGAATCTATAAGGAAGAAAACAGCAGCCTAAGCATTCTAGAGCAACCTGGGCACACCACTGCCTCACTTTGCCTAGCTTACTGTTGCAGTTGGAAGCACAAACAGAAGAAGTTCTAAGACTTCTATAAATAGATTAAATGGATTCAAGATGATACACAAGAAAGTTGGAATAAGCCCATTGAAAGATTAGGGTTGGTTCCTAGATTGGATCAGAGAGATTGAGTAACACACTGGATTTATCCAATTCACCAGTTTCGAAGGAGTTAACAAGCACAACTTAAAAAGGACCCTACCCGGTGAATGCATATGTTGCTATTTGTAACAAGGGAAGCTGCCTGCAACTCCATGTGTCCAGCCCATGTGCCATCCTTTCCCATTTGTTGGCAGTATTCATCAAAGGGCACATCATCCTCAAGAAAAGGCTCAAACAATTCGCGATTTTCCTGATAAAAAAACCCCCCAAGGATCATTCCAATCAGAGGCACTCAGTATGTCGAGCTAGCAAAAGCCTTTTCGAAAAGTTAGCCAAGAGTGACGACACTACACTGGACATAAGATTAACTTAGTAAAACTCGCTTCACTACATGCTTACCCGTATATACTGGACTATCATACTACGATACTTCCCGTGTTCCTCCTCGTTTCCATCTAACTGATCTGCCAGACTCCTGTAAACTACCCATGAGTAAGCCACTACAGGAAACCAGACGAAAACCTAAAAAAACGCCTCAATCTCCATCCCTATAACCAATGATCATGTAATCTCCAACACATACCTGAACAGACAAATCGACAGGACGGAAACAAACCTGAAGAAACAGTTGCCATCAGCAGTTACTTGAATGATTTTTAGGCCCAACCCATCCAACTGGCCACGAAACATAGTCAGATCAGCTTGTTTTCCTTGTTGCTTCACCTACAACCCCAACGTAACAATAGTTGCTTTAACTCACATAGAACGTACTGATTAATCGGAATAATCTGCTCGTAAAACCTCCTCTTAATAAATCATAATCAACAGGCAGTTCGAAACATTAACGAGCTAAAACAAGCCAATCAACAATTTGCGATGGTGCTGCAAAAGACAGAAAACTTGCTCCGCGAGTTTTGACCGTCATGCTATCATATAATTGCTATTGGATAGAGCGATCGAGCTTGGCTGCGGAAAGGCGAAACCTCGCGAGAGTTGTATATAGTAGGGGGGTCGTTACCTTAGGAGCTTTTTTGGGCTTCGATTTCTGATGTTTGGTCTTCACCATTGCTTTCGGAGAAAGACGTTGTTTACCAGCTGTTCCGAACGGCGGTACTCCTCCGGCGAGATCGTCGCTCGCCGCTCGGAAGTGCAAGCGCGACAGAACGAGGCGGAAGGGAAGCCGGGAAATTTTGCCGCCTCGTCTGGCAATTTGTAGGAGCCCAACAAACATCAAGGACCCCAACGGCGTGTTTCTAGCCAATTGTGAACTGAACACTGAAGAGCGTTGAGCGGGTACATGGGCTCATGGGGGCCTGCTCTATTTGGGCTTTTCGAAACACACAAGAAAGTGGAGCCGCCCTCCGCAGCGGGCTTGTTTCATTTCTTGAGCCCACAATGATTCAGTAGTTTTAGGAAGTAGGGCCAAGTCACAAAAAAAAAAATTTCACGAGACAAGACAATTGTTAGAAAGATCTACTATCCACAAGTTCTCATCTCACTTAAAAGTCACCTTACAAAATCAAAAACTGCAAACTCTAAATGGTATAACACAAGGTTTTACATGCTACTCTATATGCAGCTCAGTTGGCCGTCCGTGAAACCACTCTAGAATCTATACAATGAGATAAGGGCTAAGCTAGAATACTACAATCACAAAGAAGGGGGGGGGGGTCCTTCAATGGAATCCTCCACCACACTTGGCTGAGATAACGGATGGCCACTTCTGTATTGCCTTCAAGGATAACACGAGACAATCTTCTTAAGGTCGCAAATGAGATGATGTTCCTAAATGCAAGGAGTTCTAAAAGGTACGGGTCAAACTATTGTCATGCATATGCGAAAATTTGTGTTCTTTAAGAAAATATGAAGCATGTTTGATATTGTTTCTGAGAACGCTCATAACCCGAAATGACCCGGAACCCGATCCGAAACCGAATGGGTTGGGTCAATATTTGACCCGAAATAAGCCAACCAAACATGACCCGACCCGTAACCGAAGTTCTCAACCCGAAATTACCCAACCCGACCCGATTGTCAGGTCTAATTAAAATGCTATTAATTAGCCAAATCTTTTGTAATGCATCAAAATATTAGTCATTTGTACGTTATCGTTAATATTTTTGTAACTCTTTCTTAATTAAAATACTAAAAAAATTCAATATTGACATTTATGTGTCTCATCCAAATCAGTATCATGTTGGCAAGTCAATATTACTAACAAAATTACTAACTGAAAAGTTAATATTTGACTAATTCTTAGTATTTCAATAGATTTGAATAATATAAAAGAATTTGAAAAATGTTTAGATAAAAAATAGACATCACCCTAAAATAAAATACAATGTAACAAACAAAATGATAAATTATCATATTTAAAAACAATAGTCAACATTTTGATGTTAATGTTTGAAACAAATAGATAAGATTAACAACTTAATGTTCATATTTAAATTCGACAAAAGTTTTTCTTTTTGTTAATTCCACCTCGTTTTTTAGAAACAAAAAATTGATCGTATCAGTGGATCACTTTTTCTCGATTTTGACCACCTTTATTGTTTTGAATATCGGCTTATACTGCTGGTCTTCCACGCAGGTTTTTTCCAACACCAGTTATGGTTATACCAGCTGGCATACCAGCAGACAACCATACTTAACATACATTAACAACATAGTTTTTGTTAATCGAGAAATGTCAAGAGAGAAACAACCATTGGGCGCCCTTTTAGCGTCCCATTTTCTATCTAAAAAAAGAGAAACGCACAACCCATGATCAACTAAACGATGGGGGAACCAAATTAGTGTCTAACTTGAATTAAAAGTCCACCATTAAGTAGCTTCAATGCCTTCCGAATCACAAAGGAGCTTGTGAGCGATTTTTTAAACAGTATATAGGGCAATTAAAGGCCCTTTGTCGCCAATTAATGAGAGTTTAAATGATGATATGAACACTTGTAAGGCTGTACCCATTCCGGACCTGCCTCGTTGTCATTCCTACATGTAACTAAATCAGTCAAAAGAAGGTGGCTGTGGACCAAAGACCGCCATAATGAGGTATATGAAGAATGATAGGAACATCATAGCTTCCTTTCCCAGCTCCCACCCATAAAATGTTGGAAATTTGGTCGAAGAACCAGGTAATATGGGCTAGACCGGTTGGACCAACCAAGACCACGTTGAAATTTGGTGGCATGCAAATTGTTTTGGAATTGTGTTCATTTAAATTTGAAAGCCACCATTCCATGTAATGTTTGCCCCATTGGATAGTTTGCTCCACGTTGCCTTGGCTTGCCATGCATGGCAACTGTTCATGCAATTTAATAAGGCAATGTAACGCTTCATGAAATAAAATGGAGGTTTAGTTTGATAATGGCTACGGTTGGGAGACTTTGCTCCATGAAGAGATGCGTCTTCTCAGGAGGCAAATTGTATGGTTCCTGCAACCGGCAAGCCAATCGAATTAAACAAATAGAACCTTTCCTCATGGCAACAATTCATTTGAAATGAATAGACATGTTGCTTGGCCAAAAGCCAACCGATCAGGATGAAGGGTTGTAATCTTTCGATGCCTTCCATTGTCACCTATAAATAGATTGGATCGGCTGGTGGGAGATGAGACACCATAATTCATTCTTTCTTGCTACTAAATACTTCTAAGTATGCTTTAGTTTCTTAAACCTAGATTCTAAAGTGGTGATAGTTTTATCCTACGAAGGAATTTCCTGTAACCCTAGGTTTGTTGAGGGTGGAAATATTCTTTACGGAAAGTGAACTTTGTTCGACTCTATCATAATCTTAGTCACCCGGTCTCCGGCTATCGTACGTATACCCTTGTCGCTAAAAGTTCTAACAAAATTGTCGCTAAAAGTTCTAACAAAATGAAACATCAAGCTTCCTTGCGGAAGTCAGGAAGAAAGAGTATGCTGAGAATTTAGGTGAAGAATGAAATGCAGAAAGAGAGCTTCTGCGCACCATAGTGACGCAGTGCAAAACAAAACTCTCGATCAGCACTGGCTAAGAGCCACAGAATTCATCGTTTTTACGACCCTGCAGCTGCTGAACTGTGAACGTGTTGCAATTAGACAGCAGAAAACCAGAGGGCTAACCACAGGGTGCTAAAGTGAAGCCAGATGTAAAAGAACTAGACGAATTGCGAGCAAGAGTTACAAAACTTGGCATTTCTCACATTACACAATTGTAATATGCAAATTGCAACACATTTCATACAGATGTTGCTAGTTGTGACATTCGGTTAAGAATTGAGAAAAAAGAATCCGCGGGAATCACATAAGAAATCTGAATGCCTCAATTCTTTTCTGGAATAAATACCAATAAGTAGTACTGCTTGGCTTACTGGTTTACTGTTGACATGAAACTTTATATGTACCCAAAGTTAACAATCCACACTTCTGGGATGTGACAAATGCTCGTTCAGCCATGCAGTAAGCAAATAGAGGCACAATTAACAATTACTGAGCGCCACCAACAGTTTTTTCTTTTCCTGGGTAACAGCAAAGACATAACATTCCGCAGCTGCAAACTGACAATCAACAAATGACCAGAAGTAAAACTAGAAGCAACGAGATTCCTGCTACACTAGTGGAGGATATATCTTTGCTTGCTGGCGAACCCTCTTCTTGTACTCAGTAGGGTCCTGCAACAGAACCAACTAGGGTGTAAACACAAAGGAAAGCTAGCCCACCAGCTGGAGATGGTACAAAGGTTTATCATAAGAAAAACCTTGGTTTAACTCGAGGGAAAATGTTTAGAGACCTGAATGAAGAGATGATAGCCTTCAGTTTGTGCAGGGTCAGCAGGGTTAGGGGCGTCCAGCAAATCCTGGATCCCAACTAGAATTTGCTTCACTGTAATAGCTGGTCTCCACCCCTACATTAACACATGTCAGGGGATTTGAGAACAGAGACTTATGTTATTCTAGGTTATATAGATCAAAAAACAAGATGGCTGAGCTGCAACAATGGACAACGCAAACCAAAGAAACTTACACTGTCCTCATTAAGGATGGATAAACAGACAGTTCCTGATGGGTAAACATTAGGGTGGAAGAAACCTTGAGGAAATTTGCACTTCGGTGGCTTGCTAGGATAATCTTCACTGAAGTTGAGAGTGAGTGGGAAATATCCACCCTCCCAGTCAGTCTACAGTAGGATAAAAAAAAGTGAGTCCAAGACCCAACTCAGCTACATTAATATGAAACAATCAAATGCACCTACAACCTAACATAACTAACAGAACACCATACAGACAGAGACTACTAATACAAGCAGCTAAATGTGCAGGACAGAAAAGCGACTTGCCTAGTTTAAAGTTTAAACCAACAGATTAAAAAGAAGAAAAACAATCTTTCACGACTTCGACAGCCCAGCTGCTAAAATTCAAACAATGCTGCGACGAAAGTAAATATTGTTTATCTCGTCCATTCAAAACTTCAGTTCGGTTTGTCACTGGTGCAAGTTCCACCAGCAATACCATTTACCAACCACAAAACAATTAACAAAGGGTATAACAAGCCCAAGTAAATATCCGATAAGGCCCTGATGAACACAAAGCTTGTATGAAAGAAATTAGAAAATAGCTCTGCTAACTAGTGAAGCAAGTGTCCAATAAGCCGTCAATCATTCTCAAGCAGTATTACCCCCGATCACAAGTAGTCTTATCCACTTTATAATTGAAGTATGTCATGTTACTCCTAGAGACAGTAACCACTAGCTCAATGAGTGGAAAAAGAACCTTAAACTTAATAGGGCATAGTGTCAAAAAGCTGTTACATGCCAACAATTACACACAGATTCAGCAGGAAGTTCTGAATCCAATGTTCCAGTTCACCAGAGCAATTCGAAACAAGAACAAGCAGCCCCTGATAGCATGTGGAAGTGGAAGATAGCGCCAATGGAACAAAACACAGTCCAAATTTACAGAGATGATTTGAGAAGCAATTCTAATAAATTAGGCATTTAAACAGAGAAAAAAGACGAAACCGAAACTTACCCCAGCCTTCCCAGGGATAGTGCAATGCCACACCATCAAATTCACAGTTCCGTCCTGCAGAGTTTCTGGCTTCGCAACAAAACCCTAAAAAATTCACAAGCTAAAAGAACTTCAATTCTCATATTGCAATCCACACCATAAAAGTCCAGATACATGACATAAAGTCATTAACCACCCTGGAAGACCGAATCCTCCATTAACCATTCAACATGATACTGAAAAAAATTGAGAACAGCAAGTAGCTTTACGAACATGAGGATGGTTTTTGCGCCAAGACTTCCGCTCCTCCGCCAGACGACCGCGGGCGATACCGCCGGACATTGCTGGTTTTGCCGCTGCTGCTCGGGAACCGGAGAATCTGAGAGGAGGAAGACGAGAGAAACTGCTTTTCCCTCTCCGCAAGTTAGCCGAGAATCGGAGCGACGGAAAAACAGAAGTGAGAGAAAGGATGCGAAACTGAGTCCACTCCGCGTTTAAATTCCGTTTCATCGCCCAATCAGGTACAGGCGTTACATTCTTGCTATCGTGCACTCGACCAGTCTTCGGGGGAAAGTCAAGCGGTTGTACGGTTCAGATCGTGTTTAGAGGTGGGTCCCACCATTCGTTTTATCTGGTCCGCGTTTATCTCTTGGCATTGGGCTTCGGTGCAGCCCAATAGACGAGGTCCCGCCGCCACCAACCAAACGGACAAGCGTTTTGAAGTGATATTTTTTTTAGACTGGCGTGAAATGGACGCTAGGGAATATGGTTAAGAGCATTCACATCAATTGCATTGCAAAACTAATTAAATTTTTGTTTTTTTCCCAACTCAAAAATTACGCAATTCAACTCATTTCAATTTAAATCTACCTACATCAATGCAATTTATTTGCAATTGCAATAAAAAAAATAACACACCTAAAAATATTTTATGTTATTTAAAAAACATTAAAAGAAAAAGAAAAAAAAGTAGTCAAACCCCACTATCCAGCCACGTTGAATTGCATATGGGCTTTCACTATATGAAAGCTTGCATAGTTGCAAGCACTTCACACATCAGTAAAATTCATTTTGCAATTGTAAGAGCACATCCACGTCACGATGAAAGTGGAAAATGGTAGGGATGGCAATTTACCCACCCATGGGTAATTTTGCTCAAACCCAAGTAGACCCATTTATTATGAGTAGGGTTTGGGTGATGTGTGTATGGGTTTGGGGTTTGTATATGGGTTTGGGTTAGATATGGATATTATCTAAATGAGTATGGGTTGGATATGGATATCCATTTACTTGAGGGTGTTTTAACTACACATGCAAAAATTGGACTTATTTGTAAAACATGAAAAATTTAGGTACCAAAATGTAAGACCAAAAAAATTTAGGTACCAAAACGTAATTTTCCATCGATATTTTGAGGACTTATATGCAAAAAAAATTAGGTACTAAATATGCATATCTATTAAGTTTAGGTACCAAACTGTAATTTGTATTTGGGCATGGGTACAAACCCAAATCCATTTGTTATAAACCCAACCCAAAGTAAATGGGTATGAGTACAAACTCATCAAACTTTACCCATATCCATATATTTGGATTTCATACCCAACCCAATTGGGTTGGATAGTAAAATACCCATGGGTATGGGCAAAATTGCCATCCCTAGAAAATGGTAGCCGATGGAGATGCTCTAAGGAAAGTAGTGATGGCAATAGGATGGGTTAGTCGGCGGATAGTGCACGTTCGTTAACCTAATTAAAAAAGGTTTGAGTTTTATTCATATCCATACTTACATAAGAATTGGGTGGAAAATTAAAATTATGTTTATATCCGTTCGAGTTTCGAATATTCACGGTTATTTATAGGTAATAATTTATCTTTATAACTTCAACTAATATATTAACATTCACACGTATTCTCACATTACATAAGAGCAAATGTACGACAATAATGCACTAGAATAAAGAAAGTTAATTAAAACAACACAATTTCATAAAAGTACTATATTTATATGCTTAATACAAAAATATGTTGGAGAAAAATAATGATTATTTCTAGACAAAATACTAGGGTTGCAAATGAGTTGAGCTGCACGCGAGCGTCTAGGCGTTCAACTCGAGAAAAACTTGTTTGAAACTCGACTCGTTTATTAACGGGCGGAGCTTGAGCTAAACCTTCTGCAGTTCGCGGAGCCCGAGAGCTGGCTCGACTCGGTGGTTTGTATAGCTCAACTCGTGAGCTGGCTTGTTTAGAGCTAATGAGATGTCTCGACTCTCAACATTGTGGCAAGAGAACCAACTCGATTACCGACTTATGAGTGAATCGATCTAATGAGTTTGATTTGATAATTTATAGGATTGGTAAATTATATATATCACCCTATATGAATGTTAACATTTAAATTAAGTGAGCAAATATGTCTTATTAACTTTTAAAAAGTAATTTTGTATCATATATTGCTTCAATATGAAATAACATAATTTTGACTAGTTAATATGTATTAACTAAATAATATGATACCACAAAGTATAACATGAGAATAGTTAATCATCTTGACATTATTGACATGTATCATACATGACATACCAAATTAATTTATCAAATACGAGTCAAGATTTTAGCAAGCTAACTCGAACTCGACTCGTCAACAACGAGCTGAGCTCAACTCGTTTATTAACGAGCCAAGCTCAAGCTGGGGTAAAACTCGGCTCGACTCGGCTCATTTGCAGTCCTACAAAATACATACGCATGTGTATAATCAGACGAGTTTGTGTTGGATAGTGAGGAAACAATGCCCAGCCATTACCCACAATATTTGGGTTTGGGTTTTACCCGTACCCACTAAAAGTCTTTTGGGTTCGATTTTTACCCTACCCGACTAGGCCGGATTCGGGCGGACATCCACTATTACGAATATTTTGCCATCCCTCCAGGAAATTGTACCCGAGATCATATTGGACTTGTCTGTAGTAGGGTATTTTGTGATACGATCGTGATTGAACGATTGTGTATCGGTAAAATACCATTCTTGTAATAAAAAAATATTTTTTTGCTAAAAAATCGTACCGGTAAAATAATAATATCGTTTGGGAGTAATACCGGATAAAACCAAAATATACCGGATAACAAACCTAAATGTGCAAAATAGACATTAGTAACATAACCATCAATAAAGTGCAATTTTATATAAGAAGCTACATAGTCGTCCAAATGCATGTTTAGAAACGTAGACACCAATCAACACACAGATTCCTAAAATCGAATACCAAACTTCTAAATTAAACTACCAGCCACACATTCAAGCTATTCATGAATTTCAGCCTATTAGCCTTTCTAAATCATCCTCGGTTCGAAAGGGAGAAGCCAACCGACGACGACCCCCTTCTCGTTCTCGGGCTCGGCTGGGAGAGGCGAATGATGGCGGGGGAGGTGAACGACGGTGTGTAGGCGAACGATGGATTTGCAAGAGAGAAGACGAATGACGGCGACCCCCTTCTCGTTCTCGGGGGTGGCTAGGAGAGACGAACAACGATGGGGGAACGCGAATGATGGTCGGGGGATCGTCGACAGTACTTGGGAGAACTGGGAAAATGAGAGTGACGTGACTCTGATTACCAGTTTTCGTCACTAGTCCGGTTACCAGTTTTTCGGTACAATCGGCCGCGACGATCCGGTATAATAAACCATGTTAGGGATGGAAACCGGTAGGGGGCGAATAGTGTATATTCATTTTCCCTACCCAAAGTAATTAATTATTTTATTTTTCTCATTCAAAATTTTAATCTTTTTACTAGTTACCGACTTATCCCCTTGTTTCTAGGGATGTCAATCAAACTCAAAATCGTAGGTACTTAACCGTCTCTAACCCATTCAATGTTGAGAATCTTCGCATTGACTGGGTGGGGGAGTATATGGATAAAACCCACACAATTTTTTATGGGGATTGGTCGGGTATGGTTTTAGCCTTTTCCACTCCGTCCCGTCCCATCAAGAATATTTGTTCATATACAAAAAATAAATGTTTCACATTGCAACATTCCAATGACAAAAAGGGTAATTTAAAAAAAATAAAGAGTTGAAATATAATTAAGTGGTCACCCAAACCAACCTCTTTTTTATTTCGTTGATTCGCCCTTCACTTTTTCACTTCTTCTCTCTTTGTTAACAAGATTATATCAGGTATGTAATGTTAAATAATTCAGAGAGGTGTGTTGGAGTCGAAGATGAATGATTATGATAATATTGCATTTTATATTTTGGATATTTTGAATTCGTATTAAGAACTGTTGTATTTTTGTTGATTACGTGATTTAATAGGTCTGTTAATGTTATAATTGTTCTACATGTTGAATTTTAGGTAGAGTAATGTTGGATGTACGGGGCAAGTATTACGAATAGGTACCCGAAAACCGCAGATATTACAATGAGGTTGCAAAACCTTCCTTCGCATGGGTATGGGGCGGATATGGATTTGAGTATTTTAAATGGAGATGGTGATGGTTTAGAGAAACCCACTACATTGTCATCCCTACTTATTTCATCATTAGTCATTGATAATTCAATTCCGTTAACATCATTTTTATCGGAAAAAAGGAAGATAATTCAAATCCTTTAAATTCGACATAAATGACAATCCATTATATATTTTGATTGTTAAGTAGCTGACATGTCAATAATAAAATAATAATAAATTAATTATTATAAATTCTCACATCATCGCTCCCACCACCACCACCACCACCACCACCACCACCACCACCACCACTACCCTTCTTCTCTCCTTTCTCCATAAAACTCATAACCACATTCGAAATATCACCATTACCACAAGCAAAGTCAGGGTGCTGAAGATGATCTGAGTCGGGTTGCCGATAATGTACGACAAAGAAAAAGTGTCTCGGTTGCTTCTGCTTACACCTCTAGAACACGTAGGAGGACCCTCAGACCAACAAAGTCTTTGTGATTATTTTCGATATGGATCCATCAAACTCCATTTTCCACAAGAGCAACGAGCGATTGAAAGGTAAGAATTATCTATCTTGGATAGTGGATGTTGAGATCCATCTAGATGCAAATGGCCTCGAAGACACTATCAAAGAGGGGAACAAAGTCTCAAGTTAAAATAAGGCTAAGGTCATGATCTTTTTACTCCACCGCCTTCATGATGGATCAAAGTTTGAATACCTTACTATCAAATATCAGTTGATCTTTCGAACAATTTAAAGGAAAGATACAACCACCAAAGGACCGTGATTCTCCCAAAAGCTCGATGCGATTGGATGCACTTACGGTTACAACGTTTTAAGACTGAAATTGGGTGAAGAGAGTTTCCAAGTTTCACACACAAATGTGCTCTTGCAGTACCAATATTGTGCAAAAGGTTTTAAAAAGGTATTATGAGTTGATTTCCTATCTTCTTTTAGCATAATAGAACAATGAACTCTAAGTCGTAATGAGTGATCATGAATCTCGACCAACTGGTGCAACGACATTCCTTGAAGTGAATGCACAACATTTAACAAGTCAATTGTTGACCTC